GTGTGGTAGAGTAGAGCGCACTATATNCTCAGATATATATATATATATATATATATATATATATACGCGCACACACACATTTACACACACATATAAAATTACAAATAATACATATACATATACATATACATATACATATAACTATACATATACATATACATATACATATACATATTCTTATACATATATTCCACACGCACGTGCGCACCCCCACAAACATTGCTTACTTGGCAGGCTCGACGTCAGGTGGATTCGGGAGGTCCCAAAACTGACCATCTTCAAACAACAACAGACTGCGACCAACATGTCTGAACCTTCCCGGAGGAAGAGTGCGTACTATGTCCATGTAGTTGCTCACTCTGATGGTCCTGGGAAGAGCTGCATGTATTTGCTACATCACGTCAGGGTATAATGTTGAGGTGAGGTGAGTTGGGTTATATTGAGGTGAGGTGAGTTGGGTTATATTGAGGTGAGGTGAGTTGAGTTATATTGAGTTGAGGTGAGTTGAGTTATATTGAGTTGAGGTGAGTTGAGTTATATAGAGTTGAGTTGAGTTGAGTTATAATAAGTTGAGTTGAGTTGAGTTGAGTTGAGTTATATTAAGGTGAGTTGAGTTGGGTTATATTGAGTTGAGTTGAGTTGAGTTATATTGAGTTATATTGAGTTAAGTTGAGTTGAGTTATATTGAGGTGGGTTGAGTAAGGTTATATTGAGTTGGGTTGAGTTGGGTTATATTGAGTTGAGTTGAGTTGGGTTATATTGAGTTGAGTTGAGTTGAGTTATATTGAGTTGAGTTGAGTTGGGTTATATTGAGTTGAGTTTTGATGGGCATCACATAGGATGTGATGTACTCGTGTACCGAGTGCAATGGATGTTGAATACGTACGTATAGTAGTTGTGATAGCGTGCAAAGAAGTGCATAGAGTACGGGTTGAAAGCGTTTGAACGCTTGCATATAGTACGGTGGAAGAGCGTATGGAAGTGTTTTAACAAGTGCATGTAGTACGGGTGTAGTACGGGTCGAAAGCGTTTAAACATATACATTTAGTACGGGTTGAAAGCGTTTAAAAACATACATGTAGTACGGGTTGAAAGCATTTGAACACATACCTGTAGTACGGGTTGAAAGCGTTTAAACCTATACATGTAGTACGGGTTGAAAGCGTTTAAACACATACATGTAGTACGTGTTGAAAGCGTTTAAACATATACATGTAATACGGATTGAAAGCGTTTAAACACATACATGAACGGGTTGAAAGCGTTTAAACATATACATGAGTACGGGTTGAAAGCGTTTGAACCCATGCATACATTACAGTACCGGTTGAATTGAGTACCTTGGCTCCGGCTTCAGTGCATATGCGTGGGCAGCCAAACAGAGTGAGACCAGTGACATCGTAGCCTTTGGTTCTGAGATGAAAACTTGCGATCAGTGCAACAGCTGCACCAAGGCTATGGCCTACTATGCGGATGGGTCTGTTGGAGAGGCACAGGCATATGCACATAGCATAGGGAAGGGGCAGTTAAAAGTAATGGTGTAAAGATAGTTTAGTGGGGGGACGTAGACGCACATGTGGTATATATATATATATATACACACGTACATATATATATATATATATATATATATATATATACTACTCTACACATATAAGTTAGTTAGTATACGTAGTAGGACGAG